GTAGTCCCCGGGCCCGGCCCGCCGAGCAAAATATTTTTAATACTCCCAGAGTGCAAGGTTTGAAGTCTTTTTAGGGGAAAAAAAAAAAATCTCTGAAGTTTTAATAACCTCTAACAGATAAAATGCAGATGGAAGCGGACTCACCCATTTTCTCAGCCTCTAATATGCTGCGTGTGCACGAAGCATTTCCCCGTGAGCTCCCAACGCGTTCTCCCGGAGTACAAACCAGTTAAAAACCCGTCGCCAGCAGCAAAATCCGAGACGATTACGTGCGCCAAGGGTAAGCCTACCCTCCCAAATCTGGAAGATGCAGTTTTAACAGGATCTCGTTGTACCTGTCATGGTACACTCAATAAAGCAGGACCCCGAGCAGTCCACAGGATCCAACCCGCAGAACTGTGCTCCCAATTCCCTCCGTGGCTTCTCACAGGGATACTTATCATCAACATAACTTCAACTCAAATCCCCCTCAGCTCACTGACCCGTGCTGGACACTCAGCTTTCCTGCAATAAGCCTCACACACAAATTAGGAATTTAACCCCTCGAGCAGACACTCCTGTTTCCTCGCGGTTCCGAGACACCCCCGTGGGAAGAGCCTGTGTTAACGCTCTCTCTTTAGGGACTTGCTTTTCCTGATCTCTGCTCTTTCACCTCAAGACTACAGGATTACACACAGGATTAACCAAAAAGGATCCACACGATGTTTTATTTTTATTCAACTCGTTGTCCGAGATATCTGAGCAGCTCTGACTCCAGACAAGTTTCCTTCCCCGGCATTCCAAGTCATTTAAAAACTGTTATTAACCGTGCACGTGTGGCAGTGGATTTTGTAGAACTACCTATTTAAACCAGACTCAAACCTGGACACCTGAACAAGCAAGTCTTTGGGGGAAAAGCCATGAAAATGTAGCCTCGGCCTGCAAGTGTTTTCACACAGAGGCACGTTCCAGAAACCCAACCAGCAAAGTGAAAAGCCTGCATTATGCTGCATGTTGCATTTCTTACGATTCAAACAAGACTGGAGACAGCAGCATCTCTGATTAAAAAATCCTTTTGCCACTAAAACAGGGACTTGCACTTTCAGCTTGTAGCTCTTTTATCCAAGAATAAAAAAAGAGTTAAAACCCAAAAGGTTGGTTGTGTCCCCTGTAAAGTTTCCCCATATAGTTTCCTGTATCAAATAACTTGAAAAAAAAGAAAAAAAGCTTTAGAAATCAGTTTAAACCAGTACTCGTTGAAGCTGACAGGAAATGGTTTCCAGTTTTAGGTTTTTTTGGCTCCACTGGATTAGTATTTTCATTACCAGTCCAACAAATTCCCTGACTGGGAAAGACACTGGTAATCAGGAAGCGTCTTGGATTAGACTGTCATTTCATAAAGTGCTTGAATTCAAAACCAAAGAGCTGTCCAAAAGTGTCCTTTCTGTGATGGGGAACGAGAAAGTCCCCAGGACGGAACTTCACTCCAGTCAGTCTCTCCCAGTTGTCGCTGGGTTTTGGCACAGACATTTATTAGCCTCCAAGGCGCTGACCTTCTCCCCACGCAAACCCTCCCGGTCGTTCTTCGGGCAAGGGATTGTAATTAGGATCATCATCCGGTGTATCAAATATTGCTTTCCTGAAAAACAGAAAATATTTTTTTTTCTTTTAGAATATATTTCACAACCAAAACTGCTCCAATTCTGCACATCTAACAGAGTCCTCCCTCAGAAACACTCTGCCAAAGCACGGCAAGTCATGCTCGCTCTCTGGTTAGGAGCCACCCAGAAGAAGGTCGGAAATTCTGTGCCTAAAACAACTTGAGACTGAAGAGATTTGGCTGAAAGCTAAAATTCCACCTTCAATGTCAGGCAGAATTTCATCCAGGGTGCAAAACATGAACAGGTTATCAAGGAGCTCTTCATATCTTCAGAAGGCGACAAAGTAAGAGTCAAACACAGGCAGCGTTATCTCAATCTCACAGGCACGATGCAGGCACTGACAAGCAGACCTGAAATCCACAGAGGAGACTGTATTTGAGACAATATTAGAGGCTTCAGCTTCCTATTTTTTACAAAAAAAACCATCCTTTAACTCACACGTTACTTTGCCGCTCCCAAAACTAGTTTTAGAGCTTCTCTCGTGCTAAATTTGTTTATCCAGAAACAAAAATAGAAGACTCTTTGAAACACACAAAAAATAAAAATCGCAGGCTACATACAAGGAATCATTACATCCAAACCTTCTTACAAGTAAAGCACAGTTAACAAGGCAGTTCTTAGACCAGCTTAGCTAAACAGATTATTTCTCTTCAGCCAGAGTGACAGGCCATCTCAGAGAAGTTTTCAGAACAGGAAAAAGGAAAATTCCAGGGGTATTATAGCTAAAACATCAAAGAAAATTCAAGCACCTGGTGGGAAAACAAAATAATCCACAAGACAAAAGGAAAAAAACAATCCACGTAGACCCAGACAGAATCGTAAGCAGCCTTCTGAACACAGACAAGTAACAGGATTTAAATGGCAGCCTGAAGATAGGCCGACGCTTTTTCCAGAGGGAGTTACTGAGACAGCACCCAGGGCTCCAACAGCCTCAGGAGCCCTCCCGCACGCAGCCACGGGCGTACGCTCTGTGAAGACAGAAAATTCTTGCATGTGGGTAACTGGATACCTGATTTCTCTGGAGTTGCATTTTTATGCAGTCAGCCCTCGCCAGAAGCTGCCCTCAGCTGCTAAGGCCAAGTTAGATCAGCGCAGATGTACACAAGCGACTGAGGCAGCTGCCCCGCGAGAGGCGCTCCTGCAGCCATCACCTGCCAAATACAAAGCTGACCGGGATCAGAAATAAAGTGTACGTGTCCAATCCAACAAGCATGACCCACCTGTTAAACTCAGCACGGGTCTGAAGACAAAATTTTAATTACTCAGGCTTTGGGAGGCGAATTCAACAAAAAAAAAAGAGGACTGGCTGAGCTCTAGAGAATTCTGAGAGTCTCGGAGAGCTCAACTCGACTGCCCCACTGTTCAGGCTCTCCCCGTGGCTGCTGCACAGCACAACAGATCCACAGCCTCCGTGCACTCCCAGTAGGAGTGGCACCACGCAGCAGCGCAAACGCCGAAGCCTTTGGCCAAAGGTGCGAAACAGAGAATGATTTACAGATGAAAAAAATATTAGATATATTTATAACGCCTCTGAACGCAGCAGGACTCAGCCCTCACGCCTCAAAAAGAGACACGTGTCTTTGGTGCCACCAACAGGCAAAACCCAGTCAGCAAAGACTAACAAGTGTTATCACCGAAGGAATTAAACCCCTTTAGCTCTTCTCTCCAGGAAGTTAGTTTCAACTCCCACATCCATAAGACCCTTCTCCCTGAATTAAATAACAGAGCAAGCACCGATGCTCAAGCTGCCGAACGGACCAGAAGACTGAACGATACGGTTTTCCACGCAAGCGCTTTTTCTACACCTGTTCCAAATCCGGCACCAATACCTACAGGACAGACGGTGTTCTCAGAAGCCTTCCACCACCAGGCTGATTGGGAAAGACGTCCTCTAGGAAAAAATATATGTGTCCCACAGCAATACCTAGCACATAAAGCAAAGGCAAATGGTGATTTTCAATGCTTCTCCTTCCCAACTTTCAAATGCTTTCAAGAGTTTTCAGGTAAAAAACCCAACAAATCGCACATTCTTTCACAGAAAATATGAGAAAAGATCTAAAAATACAAAAACCAACGAAGAACCTTGACATCAGATGAAAAGCTTAATGTACACTTCAAGATACTACTACAAGGAAAACTGCTTGTCATTATTAAATGTACTGATGTTAGGGCTTTATGAGAGTTGGTAAAAGTACTAATATAAGGTATTTTACTTCAGTAGTCTGAGGGCCACCATCAGATTATGTAGCTGGGCTGATTCTAAAAAAATAGGAAGCCAAAGCATCAGCTCTTTCCATCCTTGTTACAGTACGCTATGGTGTTTAGAAACGAAGCCTGGTGTAAACCTGGCACCGCTACAGCAGAATAACTGATACTGAGTAAAAGGTTTCATGTTTTTCCACATTCTTTGTTCCACGTAAAACACCAGCAGGAATGAATCCTTGTGATTCTTGCCATTCCTTACCCAGGAGATCCACGATGATGGAGTTCCCCAAAAGTAGCGAAAAGCCCATCAAAACCCAGGGTAGGAACGGGGCTTGAAAGATGAGGAGACCAAAAAAGTTCATTCGGACGTAGGGATTCCTGCGGCTCCACACGTACACGAGCATTATCGTGAAGGCTTGGCCCAAGAAAACCAAGTTCACAAACAGGCCAAAAAGCTGCGACGGGTAGTTAAAGAAAACAGTTCACCAAGTAACTGGTGTGAGGTCAACCGCGAGAAGTCTCCAGCTTGACCCGTAATCGTACATCCTCTGTGCAATTTGGATCTCTGCTTCCCCAGGTTGACCAAATTCAACAGCTAGAGCAGGATTCAGGGCACCTGCGGCACGAATAATCCCTTTAAAGTATAATTTAGCATGAAATCACTGAAGCAACAGCACTTCTCTGCCACAGCCTGAGTGCAGTTACACACCTGAGCAGTCCCCTTTTATCTGATGATCTCATTTCCATAATCCGATTAAGCAATAAAAAGCCTGAAAGACCAGCCTGGTTTTTAAGAGCAAGAGTCACAAACCGTTCAAAAGTACTTTAACACTATTCCTCATAGTAAAATGTATTATCACCTAAGAAATAAGATAAATGCAGTATCATGTTTTCCCGTTCGGTCCCCATGTGTTGCCTGATCTAGTTGAGAGGTGGCGTCCCTGGCGACAGGGAGGCTGGATTAGAACGATCTCTAAGGTCCCTTCCAGCCTCGGCCATTCTACGATGATGGTTTCAGCGCTCATTCGCATACCTGTAGCTTCCCTAAAACAGTTTGGAATAATAAAAAAAGAAAGGATACGGTCATTAAAAGTCCTCCAAAAAGGAACATAAATACAAAGTCTGCTGTCCGGCCTCGAAAAGAGCCTTCTTCAAGCATTCGGCAGTAACGATATCTGAAGTGGCAGGTCAGGAAAACGTGATTGCAAGTGAGCTTAAAGAAAGATCCAAGCGCAAAAGGATTCAATTACACACAAGCTTAGATGCAAGTTTTCTATCTGTCTCCTTCCAGGTGCCTCAGCAGAGAGGGCAGAGCTGGGCGAAAACATTTAATCGGAATTTTCTCCCATTTGTCAGAACCAACCTGAAGGATCAGGCTTGTGCAAAAAAGTCTTAACACCCCAAAAACGAATGGGAAAAACTCTTGACAACTTATGAAGGCGATCCCATCGATGTCCTTTCATGACATCAGGGAGGTCGGCATCAATCAGCTCCCAGGAGCTTCACCGTGGAGCAGAACTGGACCTTTGCCTGGAGGCACGCAGAGCAACGCCCCTGTGCTCCGGAGCTCTGCTTCCCAAGGAAAGAAAATAAACTTGATGAAGGATACAAAAAGATCATGTTAAATAAAAAATTAAAGCCAACTGGTCCAAAGAATAAGTAGTTTGTGATTAACCTCCATACCTGGAAATAAGACAAATACAAAGACTTATTAAATGTGACAGCTGATTTTTATTGTCTAAATGCAAAAGCAAGTAACAACGTCACTGAAATCTCCTTCACAGTCAATGAATTTAAGATCTATGCTAAGATACAGTGACCAGCACTCCACTTCCATCACCTTTTAAAAAATAGAAATTCAATACACTCAAGAGTTCACTCAAAACCCGCCCGCCCCTTAAAAAACACTTACTTGAAAGTGTTTAAATATTAACTCAGGGTTGAAATACAGCTGAAAGGGCGTGATTAGTTCTAATTGCTGAAAAAGAAGAGAACATTCGACGGGATCAACACAACAAGAAACAGCCACGCGCGCACCTAAACGAGCGGCCCCTCCGCTGTGCCGG